TGTGTGCGTGCCTATGTGTGTGTGTGTGTGTCTGTGTGTGCGTATGTGTGCGTGCCTATGTGTGTGTGTGTGCGTGCCTATGTGTGTGTGTGTGTGTGTGTGTGTGTGTGTGTGTGTGTGTGTGTGTGGGACCTTTGTGATCTGGGTGGTGGTGGTGGTGCTGATGGTCTCAGATGTGATGGTCTGGGCGCTCAGCAGGACCCCGGAGTCCCTCTCCGCCACGCTGTCCACGGGCTGCACACACACACACACACACACACAGCTCTCAGGGTCACTCAAAACCACCGAAACTCACATTCCTTCACTTACGAGGCTTTTTCTAAGGTTAAATACGTGTCCAGGTTTTTTATTTATTTGAATAGGGACAGAGCACATTAATGGACATCAGTGAAAACAAATGTAAATATGCCGGATTGTAGCTACAAAGGTAATTTTCATCCGTAGTCCCTAGTTAAAAAATAACATATAATAAACAATACAAGCATCACAATTAAAAGTTTAGATTTTAGTGGTCACATGACTGGCTTGCTTTCATTCAGAGTCCACATCAAATGCCATTTTGTGCTGTTTTATGGCCCTGAAATTAAGTCAAAATAAGCTACATGCGGTGACTCAAAATGGGAAAACTGCAGATAGGTTCAGAAAATAATCTGTAGGTTAAAATGGTTGTATTTTATGAATATTTTGCTTTTGGACTCTTGTACACTTTTACTATATCCATGTATTACTATTATTGCTGTTGTTATTATCAAGGCTTCTTTGAAACTAAAATATCATTGTTCTCCTGGAATACAGAACGTGATAAGATATGTGCTATACCCTCTACAGCAGTGGTTCTCAAACTTTTTTCAGTGATGTACCCCCTTAAAAATATATTTTTAGTCAAGTACCCCCTGACACAGGCAAAACATTTTTGGAAGAAAAAAAGAGGTACAGTGCTGTAATATCACTGTCTTATTTATTAAAGCCAAACGTAACCATGGTAACGACAGGTCGTTGACAAGTGCGCTGGGTCCGTGGGTCAAACTAACTTGGTGGGGGGGTCCGTTTTATTTGAAAGGATATTGAAACTAAATACTGGATATAAAATGCAGTGCATGAACACACATTTATATTCTATCGAACTGTTTACAGAATAATTTCTCCCAAGACTTATTATGAGGAGCCTACTGATTTTTAAAATATATTTTGAAAAGCTTCACGTACCCCCTCCAGTACCTCCACGTACCCCCAGGGGTACGCGTACCCCCATTTGAGAATCACTGGAATAGCTTATGAGGCTT